GAAAAGGAGAAGTCAAGATTTTTTTACCCCCGCCCGGCGGGAGTAAACCCAGATGGACGCCCATCCCCCCGCCCCCCCCCGTCCCGCTGCTCCCCCGGGCGCGGCTCAGCTCGGCCCCCAGGCGCCCCGGCCCCCCCGCCCCCCCGCGCCCCCGTGTCGCCTTTGTCTTCTACGCTTCCCCCACCTTTTTTCCCCATCCGCCCCCTCTCCCCCCCCCCCCCCCCCCTTCATTTTTTTTACTAGATTAGAGGAAGAGGAGGATTCAATAACTCTCGTAGATGAATCTGAGACCTGGAGCTGGTTGAGTTTGACCCTAAAGTGAAGCCAGCAGGTACGTGGGAGCCACCTCAGGTGATACGCAACTTCCTTGAGAAGCATTTCAACAAATCGCTATCAGAGGAAGAAAGGGAATCGATCCTGAAAGACTTTCCCAAACCAAACGTTGATGCGGCTGTTACCCGGAAACTGGGCGGTGACGTCGTCGAACAACTGAAGAGCAAGGGGAAGACCCTCATTTTGGTATGGAAAAGGCCCTTCACCACCTGCAGAAAATACTGCTAGAGAAAGCTTCTAAGAGACGGGAGGTCGAGAAAACCCTCTCCAAGGTAACAAAACCGCCTATTCAAAACACCAAAAGAGGAAGGTATGAGAATGACAAATTCGACATGCGAAGTTTTTTTTTTATCCAAGGGCGCTTCGGTTCAGTACGGGAACGCGAAGAATCGCCACCCCCAACCATACACTATCAGCAGGTTTCAAAGAGGACGAAGATACCAGTACCATCAGGGAGAACCCAATCAAAAGGGCAAAGGGGCAAAGAAGCAAAGCTTCCAGGACAGAGCTCAGCCAGATGATTTCAGACAAAATCCAGGAACTGGAGCAAAAGTCTGCGATACGGAAGGTCAACTCCCGACCAGACCAGTTTATCAGCCAGATCATCCTAGTTCCCAAGAAGGACGGATTGCAGCAACCAGTCGTTAACCTGAAGCCGCTGAACCGTTTGATGGCAAGGCGCAAATTCAAAATGGAGAGCGCGAGAACACTGATGGACCTGGTCAGGAGGACTGACTGGTTGGTCTTGATCGACCTGAAGGATGCCTACCTCCCGGTACCAATCGAGCAGGGGGACAGGAAGTATCTATGGTTCACATGGGAGGAGAGGGTGTACAGGTTACAGTGTCTCCAATTTGGGCTCAGCAGTGCTCCACGAGTCTTCACAAAGCTACTGAAACCAGTCATGGCCCTCCTCCGACAGAGGGGGCTACGGAGCATGATCTTCCTAGACGATATGCTGCTGATGGGGATCTGAAACGCCAGTCACAGGAAGTCCTGGCTCTCCTCAGGCTGCTGGGGTTCAAGAACAACTGGGGAAAGTCCCAACTACTCCCAACACACAAACTGGGCCTCACAATCGACACAACTCTCATGACACTGACCTTACCAGAAGAAAAGGTGCAGAAGATCCTGAAGGGATGCCAGTCGACTCTTCACAAGGATATGGTGTCAGTGAGGGACTTGTTGAGACTGATTGGAATGATGTCGGCGACAACACTGGCGGTCTTGCCAGCTCCACTACACTACAGAGAGCTCCAGGACTTGAAGATACGAACACTGAAGAAAACACAGTCCTTCCAGACTATGGTGTTTTTGAACGAGGAATCAAAGGCAGAGCTGGAGTGGTGGATAGAAATGCTCAACTGGTGGAATGGCCGCCCAATTCTCCCACTCACCCCGGACCTCGTCATAGAGACAGATGCGTCACTCGTAGGCTGGGGAGCGGCCACAGGGGAGATGAGCACTGGCGGCCTTTGATCCGAGGAGGAGAGAACTCACCACATAAATTTCCTGGAGCTAGCCGGCGGAGCTCTGGCCATGAAGACGTTCACGAAGGGCAGGAAGAACATCCATGTCCTTCTCAACACGACGGCCATAGCGTACATCAACAGGATGGGAGGCCCGATGTCTCAGCCCTATCCCAGGCAGCCTGCGATCTATGGCACTGGTGCCTCCAGAAGGTACACCTGCCGGGCGTGATGAACTCCATAGCAGATGGAGAGTCCAGGACACTACAGTCATCAGCCGAGTGGATGCTCGAGAGGTCAATCTGTCCCATCGTGATGCGGACCCTGGGGCCATGCTTCAGCGCTTATCCGGTCAGGATGTACCAACACAGCGTACCAATCAGGTTGGGCCAGGTTGTCTAGCTGGTGTGCTAAGAGGCAGATTGATCCCATTTGAGGGGATGTCCAGCACTTTCTCGAATTTCTAGCGGGCCTCTATTACAGCACAGGTCAATAAACTCCATCAGATCTGCTGTGTCAATGACGCACAAACAAGTAGACGGTAGTCCTACTGGGCAGCACCCCCTGGTCAACAGACTTTTCAGAGGTGTCTACAACCAACGGCCTCCCCAACCACGCTACTCTGCCACCTGGGATGTTGATGTGGCGACTTAGCACCTGGCAGCAAAGGGCTCGAATGAGTCCCTCTCCCTCAAACAGATCAGCCAGAAGCTAGCTGTTCTGATGGCCTTGGTGAAGGCCAGTAGAACGTCTGAACTCAGGGCACTACACATCTGGTTCAGGGTCTACAGACCAAACGGGGTGGTGTTTAAATTGGCTCCCCTTACTAAGAAGAGGACGCCAGGACTTCCCCCCAAAGAGCTGCTTTATGGTGCATTCCCTAGTGACAAACGTTTGTGTGTTGTGGAATGCCTGAAGTCTTACGAGGAGAGAACACGAGAGTTCCGACAACAAGGGTCTGCAGAGAAGCCACTGTTTCTGTCATACATTTGCCCACACAATCCAGTAACATCTTAGAGGCTGGCCCAGAGGTGTTCCCCTGGCAGATATCCTCACCTCGGCAATGCTGATAGGAGCAGAGGATCCACCTTCAGACGGTTCTATTACAGAGAGACTGAGACCACTAAATATGTGTCAAAGGTCCTTCAAGGGGGTGAAAATACCAGACCAAAGTGACAATGGTCAGTATGTGGTCTAATGAGTCACTACGCCATCAGAAGTCTGATGATAATGAAAAGCACTAAAGTGCAAACCCTCGGCGAACTGCGCATGCGCGGTACCGCTAATTGATGGGCTGGGCTATTTGTAAGTATGCGTTTACTCGCAGAGTAGCTCGCGAAGAGTCTGACACGGGCTAGCTACAGTAGTAGATAGCATGCGGGAGTCGATAAACGCCCTTCGTTGTGACTTCTTGTGCCTCCAAGGTACACAGAGCAAGCGGACCGGTTGAGGTAAGCCTGTGCTAATTTGTATATTGGCTTGTTCACTTGGTTTTCATGCCATAACTTTTGAACACGTCACTTTTACAAAAATCGGCATTTTAAAAATGAAGCGGGTGTAGCGATGAACCCGTTGGTGTCGCTATTTTACCTGTTTGTCGCTTGTCGCTTGTCGCGCGTGGTGGCAGAAAACGTGGACGGACGGACAGACAGACAGACGGACAGAACAAGTACTGTAACCCTCGCTGCGCATGCGCGCCGAGGGTTAATTATGGGGTCCAGTGAGACTCCGCTGCGGCATGCACACCTTAGGCCTTGAACTCTACCAGTGTAACACGCAGCAAGTCTCACGAAATATAATTACCAATTCGACGAGGGCCCGAAGTTGAGTTGGGATTATATGAGTGAGACGAGCAAGTGTTACACTGCCCACCCACCCTCACCTCTTTCTCTTATGTTGTTCCTTTATACAGACGGTGGTGCAAGAGAGTGCTCGCAGCAAAACAAGCGGGATTTCTGGCAACGTGTCGGGTTTTATAGTCGGATGACTTGACCGTATTTCGCTTATTAAGAGCTACAAAATTGCTGTATCTGAGCAAAATGAAATATTATACCAGTGTAACACTTGCTCGTCTCACTCATATAATCCCAACTTAACTTCGGGCCCTTCGGGCCCTCGTCGAATTGGTAATTTTCGCAAGGAGCAAAAACAACAGATACTTTACTTTGTGGTTCAACGGTTGATATTCGAGTTTGAAGACTATTAACCCTGCATGCACGTAGTTGAAACGCAAGTGTGTCAGTCGTGAAACGGAAACAAATGGCGGACCTGAAACAAACACTGTCTAACTTTTCCAGGTAAGTGGTTTTAGAGAAGACGGCTTTTTAATCTTGATTTACTCGTGTCCTTTGTTGCGCATATCATAGTGCGAGATGCCAGAATAAGCAGAGTGGACAGACAGACAGACTTACGAACCAAGTACCGCAACCCTCTTGTGCATGCAGGCTGAGGGTTAATAATGCTCTGATTAGTTTACATACCTTTGGAGGCTCACACTGTACAACTAAATCCACTTCCGGAATGTCTAACCCACGGGCTGCGACATCAGTAGCTATCAATAGAGGGAACTTCCCCTCTCTAAAACCCTAGAGTCAAAAAACAAGTAATTAAACAAAATCCCACCCTACCATGTCCATGACTGGCGAATGGGAGCAGGCCAACTTCATGGTTTGATCTGTCTGAATTATGTACCCCCGGTGGGTGCAGCAACGATTAAATAGACATACCTGGCACATGGTTCTCTTACCTAGTTTCTAGAAAGAATGGCCTATTGACATGATTTAGGACTTTTCTTGCCAGTTTCCTTGCCAAGCTCAGGGGAACCAAAAACCATGTTACTATGAATCAGTCATAGAAAACTACATGCACCAAGGAGGCAAAAGCCCTGGGGCAGTAGGTGCTACAACAGGGTCAGAGGCATCCAAGTGCGTGATGCATGACTTGTCTAGAGTGTAAACACGTAAGTGTCAAAAAGTCCAAAGTATGTGCAAAGGGGGAGGGGTAGGTGAACAATAAAGTGGACTACCTTACTTCTTTTTCACCAATCAGATTTGGGTATTGGAAACTGCCGTACTGCTGTAGATTGCAACAAATTAATGTTAAACATCAGTGACGGTTATCCGGTAAATCATCAGAGAATGGTGATTATGTTGATAGGTGTGCTATTATGATGCTGCATGAAAAAATCATGCACCAAGACAATGGCCTATGGACTTCTTAAGCCAAGGAATATTGAGTGGCTGCGTGACCGCTAGCAAAGAAGATTATCTTATAGTTGCTCTCTGATTTTCAGAGACTATTCACTGGGGCACAACAAACTAGGGCTAATAAGTTTGTGAAGTTCTGTTCGGATAGACTTGAATGATACACCTTAACCAGAAGAGTTCATTGACAGGTGCAAAACTGGAAACAGTGCAAAAGACAGCATTATAGGTGCTGTCTGTTGCACTGCTTCCAGAACACAACTTCAAACTTATTAGCCCTAGTTTGTTGTGCCCCAGTGAATAGTCTCTGAAAATCAGAGAGCAAGCCATCAGCTGCCAGCTGCCTACGAGGAATGAACATACAGGACATGGGGCAGGTACACGGTGTATCTCTGTGGTGTACCGTGTACAGGTGTAATGTGAAAGGGGATGACCACATGCCAAAGAGCACAGAGTAATCTAACAGGTGGCCAAGCCAAATGAAGCAGAAATCTTTGCCAGCTACACCAATTACCTATATCAAACCCCTGAAAAACCAAAGGTCTGAAGGTCTTTGACACAAGTGGGTGGTAGTAAATGCAACACAAAAATGTTAGAGCAAAATTTCAGTAAGTACATGTGTGGGAAGCGTTTTGGGATGACTAGATTGGTTTGATCCCACTTGCCAGTATACAGGTTACCCTGAAACTCACCTTCAGTGTAACTTCCCTTTGTTTCTGCACTATATCTCCATGCAGTACCCTAGCATCCTGAGAGAGACATGGATTGACAGCTAGCTCATCAGCATCCAGTTTTGTTTGGGTGAACACCATCGTGCGGCCATGACTACCACTATACACCTGCATAGACATGCAAGGTGAAGCACAGCGTGGCTCTCTGAGTTAAACATACACCATAGAACTTAACCCCTTCACAACTGTGTAATATACAGTGGTTAGTGGATACATCTGAAAATGGCTGGCTATAACATGGTTGTTTCTGCACTATATCTCAATGCAATACACTAGCATCCTGAGAGAGACAGGGGCTGGCAGCTAGCTCATCAGCATCTTGTAGTTTAATATGTGGTTGTTAACCGAGGACATGCCGGGCAGTGCGGGCAGCAGGTGCATGTGCGCTCTACCTGCATGGTCAGCACCAGGCCACGTGTGGTAGCATACCGTGCATAAAGTGAACCTGTGTCACCGTTTTCTGGGAATCCAGTACACCTCTTGTGTAGATCGCAAGCACCGACTGCTCACCAACAATAACGGCTTTCCGAGGATCCGGGACACCCATCTCGTTCTCTACTGGCATGGCAGGGACCGCACCCCCCACCTTCGACGGCAACTGCCGGACACTCAACAGGTCCGGCTACTCTCATTTCCATTGTCTCCAACCCTGTACAAACAGCCGTGGCCTCGTCCATGCAAGCTCTCATCTCTGGCATAGACTCCAGGATCGAAGCAGCCGTGCCAGTGACGCAGCCGATTCCAGCACCTCAAGCACCAGCACAGTTACCATGACTACTTCAACAGGTAGCAAAGGGTGGTCACTAGTAGCGTCCCATGCCTCCATTACGCGCGTGCCTCTATTAACCCTTAGTAAGCCACGGGGATATATATATGCGCCAAGAGCTTCCAGAATTTATACATGGCTATAATACTAGGCGTAAATATGTTACACATCAATATCTGCTTATTTAAAGAGATATCCATGGCAAAGTATCGGGAAGCCCACTCACATTCTCTCTAAAAACCGCAGAGAACATGCCCACCCTTTTCGTTGGTTGCCCTAACTACAGGGTCAATTACCCAACCCATACCCAGCACGGGAACAGCGGCAGTAGATCCCTGGATACCATCTGTTACTGTGGCGCCTAACAGCATGCGTATCCCCCAAAAAGTAGTGCAAACGATTCTGAAATGAGACTATGCCGACATGGCAGATCTCCTTCCCGAGAAGCTAAGCCACCTGCAGGAGCCGCAGAGCTCTGACTCCAAGAAACCGAAGTGGAAGCGGGTTGGCGAGCTTTGCTTCAGCCTAGACCATACAACTGAAAAGTGTGACGACTACGAGGCAACCCCATATGGCCAAAGCTTGTTTGGTAGACAGGCAGTTTACTCCCCACAAGCGAGACTGCCATTACGACGATCGGGAGAAACAGCCCTTTCAGAGGTCAACCCTACCAGCCGGTAGGGGGGAAGCCCCTCCGACGCTATTGTCCAAGCAATCTGTCCTAAATCAGGTTGTAGCTGCATGTGTTAATGTACTTATAGTAACAAGAAGGCAGCGGGAGCAACAGAAACCCTGGACCGAATTAAAGGCTGTGTTTACAATCCTCACAGCTAAGTGTCTGAATCAGTGTCCTCAGGACACCCACGGTGCCTATTGTTTCCTCACAGCATAATGATATGCCTCAACAGGACGGGCTACCAACACAATTACACTGCATCCACACAGTATGTAAATATGGCCCGCAGGCCATGGAAAGCATAAGAAGGAGGAGAGAGGAGGAGAGAGAGGTAAGGAAGGAGAGAGAGAGAGAGAATATGCTCTTTCCTCTCTTCGCTTCTCTTCTCTTACTCCTCCCTCTCCTACTACTCTCTTCTTCCTCTTCCTCTCTCCTCTCTCTCCTCTCTTACCTCTCTCTTCCTCTTCTTTCTTTCCCTCCTTCTCCTCTTCTCACCCTACCTTCCGTTACTCTCTCTCTACTCCCTCTTCTCTCTCTCTCTCTCTCCCCCCTCTCTCCCTCTCTCCTCTCTTCCTCTCTCTCCATCCTATCTTCTCCCTCTCTCTCTCTCTTCCTCCTCCTCTCCTCACTGCTCTCTCTCCTCCTCTCCTTCTCCTCTCCCCTTCGCTCCGTACTCGCTTCCTCTCTACTCTCTCTCTCTCTCCTCTCCTTTCCTCTTCTACCCCTCTCCTCTCTTCCTCTTCCTTCCTCCTCCTTTCTCCTATCTCCCTCTATTACTCTCTTCTCCTTCTCTCTCCCTCTTCTCTCTTTCTCCTCCTCCTCTTCTCTCTCTCTCCTACTCTCTTTCCTCTCCTCCTCTTACTCTCTCCTCTCTCTCTTCCTCCTCTCTCTCTCTCTCCTCTCTTCCTCTTCCTCTCCCCTCTCTCCTTTCCCTCTCCTCTCTCCTCCCCACCTCTCCCTCCCTTTCTTCCTCTCCCCTCTCTCTCCTTCTCTCCTCCCTATTCTCCTTCCTCCCCTCTCTCTCCTCTCTCTCTCTCTCTCTCTTCTCCTCTCGCCTCTCTCTCTCTCCTCCTCTCCTCTCTCGCCTCTCTCTGCTCCTACTTCTCCTCTCTCCCTCTCCCTCCTTCCTCTCTCTTCTCTCCCTTTGCTCTCCTCTCTCCTCCTCTCTCTCTTCCTCTCTATCTCTCCTACACTTCTCTCCTCTCCCTCTCTCTCCCTCCTCTCTCTCCTCCCGACTCTCCTCTCCTCTCTCTTCTCTCCTCTCCTTCCTGACTCCTCTCCTCTCTTCCCTCTCTCTCCCTCTTCCTCTCTTCCTCTCTCTCTCTCTCCTCCTCTCTCCCTTCTCCTCATTCCTCTTCTCCCTCTCCTCTCTCTCCTCTTTTTCCTTTCCCTCGCTTTCTTTCTCTCCCTCTCTTCTCTCATCCTCGCTCCCTCTCTCTCTCTCTCTCTTCCTCCTCCTCTCTTCTCGCCTCCCTGCTCCCATTTCCTTCCCTCCTCTCCTTCTTCCTCCTCCTCTCTCTCTCCTCCTCTCTCCTTCTCTCTCTCCCATCTCCTCTCCTCTTACCTTCTCCTCCTCTCTCTCCTCTTCTTCGCCTCGTCTCTACTCTCCTCTCCTTCTCCTCCCCTCACTACTTAGCTCCTCCTCTCTCCTTCTCCTCCTCCCTTCTGCTCCTTCTTCTTCCTCGTCTCGCCTCTTTCTCCTTCTTCTCTCCTCTCTCTTCTCTCTAAAGCTCGAGAGTGAAGGGAGGAGCCGCTGACGAGCAATCTCTCTCTCGCTAGCGCTACTAAGTCGTTTCTCGCTGCGCCTCTCTCCTGCTCTCTCTCCTCTCTCTTCTAAGCGGCCTAGCTTCGCTACTCTTCTCCGCCTCCGTCTTACTCCCTCTCTATCCTTTGCCCTCCCTCGCGCTCTCGCTCTCTCTCCTCCTCTCTCTTTCCTCTCTCTCTCCTCGCTCTCTCTCGCTCTCTCTCTCTCTTCTCTCACTCCTCTCCTCTTCATCTCCGCCTCCTCTCTCCTCCTCCGCCTCTTCCTCCCCTCTCTCTCCTTTCCCTCCTCGGCCCCTCCTCCTCTCCTCTCTTCCTCTCTCCTCTCCGTTCTCTCTCTCTCCTTCTCCCTCCTCTCCCCCCTCTCCTCCCTTCCTCCCCACTCCCCCCCTCCCTCCCCTCCTCTCCTCCTCCTTCCCCTTCTTCTCTCTCTCCTCCCTCTTCCCTCCCTCTCTCCTCTCTCTCATTCCTCTCTCCCTCCCTCTTCTCTTCTCTCCCCTCCTTCTATCCTCTCTCAACTCCCCTCTATCCCTCCTCCTCTCTCTCTCCCCCTCTCTCTCCTACTCCTCCCCTCCTCCCTCCCAAAAAATCCTTCTTCTCTTCCCTCCTCTCCCTCTCTCCTCCTTCCTCCTCCTTCCTCTCCTCTACCTCTCTCCCTCTCCTCTCTCCGGCCCGCCCCCAACCCACCCCCCGCGGCCCCCCACCACACCAGCCACAAACCAACCTCCTACCCCCCCCCCCCCGAGCTACCCCCCACCCCAAACACATCCAACAGACAACAAGCGACAAAGCAATCCTCTAAGGAACTGATTCTCCTCTCCCTCCTCTTTTCTTCTCCTCCTTCCCGTCCATCTTTCTGCTCTCTACTACTCTCTCTTCTCTCTTCTCTTTCTCCTCCTCTCGTCCGGTCCCTCATCCTCCGCTTTTCCTTCCTCACTCCTCTCACGCACCCACCCCCCCCTAACCCTCCAAACACCAACACAACCACCCCCCACCCCTTCCGCCCACCCCACCCCACCCGCAAAAAAACCCCACCAACACGCACGAACCTCCCGCTCCGCTGACCCCCAACGCCTCGAAACAAACCCGGCATCCCACCAACACAGCCCCCCCCACAAGCCACCTGTACGACAACCCGAAAGCAGCGCTAACGCGACCCGAACGGAAACCTGCCCCCCACCCACCCTACGAGCAAAGATGATTAAAATAACCAAGCACCCCAGCCTGGCCCAGCCAAACCACCCCAGCAAAACCTAGGGTCAAGTGCGACATAATGGACCCACAACCACCCCCTTCTCTTCCTCTCTTCTCCCTTTTTCGCTATCTCTTCTCCTTCCTCTTTCTCTTCTCTCCTTATCCCTCTCTCCCTTCCTCTCTCCTTACTATTCCTTTCTTCTCTCTCTCCTCATGTCCTTCTCTTTACCTTGCTTTCTCTCCTGCTTTTCTTCGTCCTCTGGGGCCCTACTACTTTCCCATCAAGTCACTACTCAGCCCGTCGGCAAAAGTCAGGTTCATCAATAGGCTTATCTCCATACAAAGCATTATGTCGAGAGCCGATATGACACCTCAGGCCAGCCGGTAACCATAAACAAGTTCTTACCAACTGTGCCCAGAGGATGCAGCAGTCGCCCCTGCATTGCCCGCCACACTAAAGACCCTTCTCTGGGTATATATGAATGTTTCATGGTTAACTGTTTTGTTTGGGTGAACACCATAATGCAGCCGCCATACTACCACTATACACCAGCATACATATGCAAGGTAAAGCACAAAGGGAAAAAACGGATTAAAAAGTGTGGCCTCTTGAGTTACACATACAACATAGAAATTTATTAATTAATTAACCCCTTCACAACTACGCGATATCCAGTGTGTAGTGGATACAAGAAAACAATTGTTGGCTACCCATGTAAAAACCTTCCCGCAGCACCATGCGCATGCGAGAATAGTCGCATTGGCAAATAACGCGAACGAGCGCGAAATATTGCATGTATCATTCATGGTGCAGTGCGACTTCATGAGACTTTACGCGAACGCGCTAACGCCCAATTCAATGTAACGTTTACGTTATAAATCCTACGCAACGAGTGTTTGAGAAGGTGAGCGAAAGCCTGCGCAGAGGCGTGTGCTAGCGTGAGTGCAGCAAGAGGCAAATGTGTTCCTCGTGTTCATGCCGGCATACACAAAGTGAGATAACGGGTTGTGTTTATGCAGGTACACACAAGTGGGATACAATGGTGAAGTACAGTTTTCTGAGTGGGATAGATGGGATATATTGGTGATGTATTGTGTTTATGCAGGTACACACAAGATGGAATAAGTGGGATACAATGGTGAAGTACAGTTTTCTGAGTGGGATAGATGGGATATATTGGTGATGTATTGTGTTTATGCATGTACACACAAGATGGAATAATGTGAAGTACAGTTTTCAGAGTGGGGTATACAGATGGGATAAAATGGTGGTGAAGTACAGTTTTCAGGGTGGGGTGGTAAACACCAGTAATAAAACATGAATGGCTGCCTCACAGTTCTCTTTCATGGAACAAAGGATATGACCAAACAGGTAGAGTTAATGTGAATCCTACCTCAAAATATTTTGCAGATGACGTTTTCGTAAATCATAATGCAGTCCCTCCCATCTACACTTGAGGAGTCTCAACACTCCGCCTCAGCTCTGACTACAGTATGGTGCTCATCTTTGATGTGTACATGCAGTATGCAGCTCTATTATTACAAATATAGGGTGACCAAGCAAGTTGCAGACACAGATGTAAGTGTACTAGGCGGTGTCAGCATCAAGGCAGTTCTATCCAGCATAATGGAGTCACTCACTAACTTCATGCTAAGAAGTCCACCATCACTACTGTTATAACTACAGTGTATCGAGTGGAGGTCAAAGGCAGTCTCAAGCAGTATACCAGCCCCTGATGGGCAACATAACTATGCGCTGATTGAATGTTTCGTTGATCTTGAAAACAAAATAATTTTCATAAGTAGCCAATTGTCTCACACATGATTTCCACTGCCCTAGGAAAAACCCACAATAATACGTACCTGTGGCCATAGAATCAGAGATGGACTGTTGTCTTGAAAATGACATTCTATTCAAATGCCTTTTCATACACACTGGCGCTGAACATACAACATCGCACTTCTGTGCCAGATATCGTCTAACCACGTACTTTCACGTTTCCTGGCGTATCGCGCAACTGTGTGTATATACGCACGTACACTCAGACGAGCGTGGTACTGCGTGAAGTTTTTTTACACGGGTAGGTTGCTACGTACCATTACACACCTGAATAACGTCATTGATGACGGTAGGTCTCTCTTGATATGGACAGCATATGGCTTTGTGCTCCACAGTGACGGCTGTCCGTACTCTCTGCTTTCCAATGAGATCAACTACAACTCGGTCATCTCCCATGTAGCGTTTTGCCATATCTTCAACCCAAGATGGTACTGTAGCTTCAGAAAAAAGATATGATGGCTAAGAATACGTCATTGGTACAACATATAGCTTTATCACATAGCATACAATGCACAACACAAGAGTGTTAATTCATACAAGTGCTGTAGAGCTCCTGAGAATCAAAGTATTGTTACTGTCTCTTTGCACTTTGTGATGAGCTTTTCGCTATTATGTACAGTAGTATACGACTAATTATACTACAACAAATGACACACATGAGCTTGGAGCGTATTTGGAATGGCGTACAATCTTTTGCACATAATTTTACATAATGATTACAGTATGTTAAGTGCTCATTACATATTAAAAAAGCAACTTGTTGGTTGTTTAATTTGAAAAATCCTCAAAACTGCGAGTGCATAGGTGCTTTGACAGTGACCAAAACTACAGTGTTTATTGACAATACCTCTTACAAACTACATTAAGAGAAAGGCAATACTAACCAGAAAATAACATCATCTGTGGCAGTGAGATGTTGTCTTTCCTGTATGACGCTGACAATATTTCTTCTACGGTTTCAGAAAAACCTCTCTCCAGCATCTGATCGGCCTCATCAAGCACCACATGTGATAAACTCTGATATAAAAAGATTATGAACTGCACAACATAAACCTCGGCAAAATGTTTCATGCATTGCTCTTGTTTCAAACTCTGACAAGGGGCTATCTGACACCATTTATGCTGATTAGTGGCCAACATGTGACTTTTCTAGTGCTGTCGAAGTCAGTTTCTTTGACTAGCTGCCGAGGGTAGCAACACATACACAATGCTCCATGCTTCCACATAATATGCTCCAAGTAACCTCATACCTGTACCTTGGACTAATGGGTGGATAAATAAGACTACTACACCAGGTTACGCATGAAATCAGCGTATAAAAGGGGTGGCACAGTCACTGGCAATCCTCATTTTTTCCCAATTCCGGAGTTTTTTACATGGCATTTGGCAAAGAGGCGCAAACAAAATGGTGGGTGGCGTGTACGCGCATTGTTTTACGCTAGCCTACTGAAAGCAGGGACAGTGGAAAACAGGGACGGAAAGAAGATCACTCACTCACGCCAGAGTGCAAGCCGGCGAGTGAACGGCACGGGCCTAGCACGGGCTGGCAAGATGACAGCAGCCGCTTGTGAAGCTGTTTCTCAATTTCAAATGAAAGTTACAAAATGGCGTCGCGTTCTTCTCTGAAGCACACCATGACAGTCTATTCAGCTATTATTCCGCCGAGAAGGATTCCTTCACTGCTCGGCTGAAGCGCATCTGCCAACGCTATACGCCTCCAGGAGAGCGTATTCTGAGCTACCAAGACCACATGCTCAGAATGTTCGACGCGGTTGAGAGAGAAGCCACACAGGCACCGGCTGCAGCGGAAACGGCTACCATGAATTGCAACAGTGAAAAGTCTATGAACATTGTTTGTCAACCATAGCTATGTAGCTAGCTAAACCATTAGGCATCTTCACTGATGACGATGGATGCCTCTTTGTCACCGAGAGGCATACCTTCAGTGACCTCGTAGACAGGCTGGCATCTTCATGCATCTGTGGCATGTCGAGGAGCCCTTGGGTACTGGAGTCCATCACTCAGGTTGCTTTATGTGTGCAGCACAGTATGGTCAGTTCCCGAAACCCTAGTCGAAACTATATATATATGCTTATAACTATCCGTCTTTGTAGTCCAACTTCAAACAAACCGGTGCTAGGAATATACGCTGTATTCTGAGCTGTGGGCTGAGGGCTGCACCAGTATAAGTATCGGACACAACGTCTAGCGCTATGCATAGTGCAAATTGTCTGGCTTCCAAAGTTTACACAATAGTCCATTAGTACATTAGTGCAGGATGACACAGCAGAAATTCAGCATTGTGATTGGCTAGTTGGACTACAAATCAGTTAACGTCAGGGTCTTGGCGCATACAGGACATCCTCCTCGGCTGTTCACTATACCGGCCTCGGGCTACGCCCTCGTCCGGTATAGTCTACAGCCTCGGAGTATCTCGCCTCGCCGCCTATACGTTAGCTAATACGTAATGGACAGACTGTATATTTGGTTACGTATGCATGTATGGTCGTGTCATTGCCCATATATTGACCGTATTCCTGTGTATAGAGACTGCATGCACAGATCATACTTTCAGTCTGCACTATCTGCCGTGTTGCGCCTAGCTGAATTGTGAACCTAAGGCAACGTGCATACAGTCACTGCATATTGTCGACGAGGATGGGATCAGCTAGGAACATGGCAATGTCGTTTGGCAATATTGGAGAGTACCACGAAGGATGCGAAGAGTGTAAGCAATACGCCGAGTGTCTCGACCACTTCCTCGCAGTGAATGGTATAACGAACGCTGCCGACAGAGAGCAGTTTTTCTCTCAGTCATTGGACCGAAAGCCCACAAACTGCCTGCCGATTACGACTGATCATCAGTGCCCGCCTCCCTCGGAGATCGTCCAGCGTTTCAAGTTTCATACAAGGGTTTGAGGCCCCAAGGAGTCGATTCGCGACGTACGTGGCGGAACTTCAAGCGCTGGGACAACACTGTGGTTTCGGGACAGGCCATGAAGCCAGGTGTTGTAGGTGTCTCCTACCTCAGACAGCCCCACCCAGTGTTATCAGTGTGGGAGGAGTAACCACAAGCCTGCCTCCTGCAAGTTAAAAAAAACACCCGCTGTCACAAATGTGGTCAGGTGAGGCACCTGAAGGGTAGTCTGGCGTAGCCTGATCCCACCCTCAAAAATCGGGAAGGGGTGAGGTGAACCGTGTATCATAGACTTGTGTAACAATCAGAATACCAATACACGATCACCTGCCGATGGACGACCCAGCACGCCAATGCAGTTGTCATGAGCATACTACCGATTCCAGGACCAGAGGAGGAAACAGCTGAGCTTCCAGAACTTGTCCTCATGGTCAACCATCTCCAAGATGCACCCATCACGTCACGCCAAATCGCTCACAGGACAGCCCAGGACAAGGTGTTGTCTCAAGTTTGGAGACATATCCAAGACTGATGGCCGCAGCACAGCAAGGAATTCAGACCATACTGGCTGCGCCAAACGGAACTGACTAGTCATGAGGGTTGCATCTTGTGGGGAGGGAGAGTGGTGGTGCCGGAGAGGGGTCGGGAGTATGTGGTGTCCTGGAGCTACAAGAATGAAGGTGTTGACGAGGGGGGTGGTTTGGTGGTTGGATGGTATGCTTGAGAGGGTGGTGCAGGAGTACAGTCGTCGCCGCCGACACAACCGTATGTCTGTATGCTGTATTTTACATGTTACGCTCACAACAGCACCGCCAAGGTTGTGGGGATAAGCACAGTCTCTCGAGAAGAACACACCATAGTCCAGACCCGTCAACTGGAGTGCACAAAGAAAGTGCTGCCGGAGGTCATTTCAAAAGGTGAATCAAATTCACAGCTCCTTTTTTTGGCAAACTCACAGGACTGAATGTTGTAGAAGTTGCCCGACATCCAACTTCCAGTTTCTAGGTACATCACTGGTTCCTTCGCCCTTACGAACTCCTTTGACAAAGAATGTCACAAAGCAGTTGCGGCGAGTCACTGAAGGAACCGTGGTGTCACGTGGTCTCCCCAACTTGTCGATAAGAGTGAATGTGTACTGCGGCAAGAAGGGACGTTTGCTCAGATGCTGAGCCCACCGGGCCCTACACCACAACGGTAGTAGCGCCTTGTGGAGTGTACGCCTTGCTGTTGTCGTTTTTTGTTTACTTATATGTTCCTGTACCGAATGTTTACTCTTACAATGTCAGCCAAAGCTTGTTCATGACCAATGGTCAGGAAAATAATAATAGAAAGGGTCCTTATGGACAGACAATACATTGACAAATTCCGTTAATCCCAAGCCAGCTAAAAATTTAGGCAGTGCTCGCGTTAACAGTCAGTCATCGGACATTTTCCAGTCAATACGGCTAGGCATCCGCGTAGTTGCGTAGTTGCAGGGTCAATTTATCCGGGCATGCCCACGTCCACTGTGCGTTGTGTATAGTAAACACGAGCACTATGCATTGCATATAGAAAGCACGCGTACTATGCATGTATATAGTAAGCACGCACAATGTAGCACAGGAAGTTTACACAGTCACTTAGAGCAGTTATAGAAGACAGGAGGGATTATAATAGCATTTGTGTGTCTGTAAAACCTTCTACATGACGGTTGCTTAGCCTCTATCTGCCAGGACAAATTGTTAGGATGTCCGGCCAAATTAACCAATGGTCTGACAATTTGCCAGAACAAACCCAGAACCTTATCGTATGAACTGGTTAGGATTACATGCTATTATGATAATGGAAGGAAGGACAGGATAAGAACTTACTGTAAGATTGAGGTTTCCCCTGTTCATGTGATCCAGTATTCTTCCAGGTGTACCAACAAGAATATCGATCCCTCTTTTCATGGCTGATTCCTAAAATAATAAACAGCAAACAGTGCGAAGCTACCCAAATGTAACTCTTGAGTAAGAAAACAATGTTTCGTACAAAGCGCCATGTGATTGGAAGTATAGTTTGTGGTGGAGAAAAGCACAACCAAAATAGTATTTCAGATGCTCGTGGTTTCTGAAAAGAGAAATTGTAATTTTCTTCATGGTCTATAAGTTGTCGAGGTCTTTCAAAACTTACTTGGAACGAGAGTCCATTGCACTGTACCTTACTCTAAGCCATGTCACTACATACCTGGGGTTCATATCGAGCACCACCATAAATGCAGTAAACTTGCACACCACACGGAGCCAACATTTTGAACTGTTCAGAAACCTAAAAAACAGAGATGCATCAACAAAATGCGCATAGGTTGACTAAACACAGCTCTAAACATACGTAAAATTTGGGCGAATATGCCCTGGTACAGCAGGGATTTCCAGCAGTTTTTATTGCAATGCCTAATGAATATGTACATACTCATTCCCAATTGGAACAAGAAACAGTGCACATTTAATAGTAGTCACAAATGCAAACACACATACGTACATGAACACATGGGGACTTTTGCTGCATGACAAGTTGTTATACATACATGATTAAAAAACGTAATGCACATGGAACACAATTGTGCGCAAGGTAAAAGGCAAAGGAACAAACTAAAGCTGCTAAATGGGATCTGAACCAACAACACTTATTCTCACTTGAATTGCTAATTCTCTGGTAGGAGCCATCACCAAGGTGCACGGTGGTCGACCACTGGCTGATCTGATTCCATTCTCAGCAGACATCCTTTCAAGTATTGGGAGCGCAAATGACAATGTTTTCCCAGTCCCAGTTCCTTCAGGAAAAAATGCACTCACGAGGAGCATACTTAGCAACTCATATACACACACGGCATAGAGGGTGCCCCTTCCTATTGGAGAACTACAAATTTGACCATGTCATCACAGTATAGAAAAATCTTGCGAATTATGATAGGGATAGGATATACAAAGCATGGTTTAGCCTACATTAGTCTTTTAAGCCATAGCTCCTGCACATGGTCAATGTCTGATACTTCACCCACGCAAAAAATGGAGTTTCTCATAGTCATTGAACCAATGGTTTGCGTCCGAACGTGTTCAAACGCTAGATTCACCCATGCGCAAGACACAGTATACTTATACATCTGCGTGCGCTTGCACACGCATGCTGATAATTGACTAGGTGTCCTAAAGCATGCGTCCTAAAACCATGCTTTGTATATTGCATCACTATCTCGTCTCCCTTTCTTTTCATACTACCCCTATATTGCTACCCGTGTAAAACAAAGCGCGCAAACTCCGAATTATTTCGCGGTGGTTTACTACGCGTTGTTACACGCTACTACGCATGCCGTGGGCGTGTCATTACGCGGTTAGGCGTAAACAAGCGCGGTCGCACCCAGCTGGTGGAGCGCTGTTCCGCACAAACGTGGGTGTGTCAGTACGCGGTTATGCGCGAACGAGCGTTTGCTGAAAAAACTTCGCGAAATACCGCGAGCGTAGAGTGTAGCACGCCGTCGCGCGTTACTACGCGCGAACGCTAAGTCTGCGTATATTGGTGTGACTTCCCGCTTGAGTGCGTAAAAGCGCGATATTTCGCAACCGTTGCCGTCTGTGCGCGCTTTTACACACATTATTTTACACGGGTAATTCTGTAGAATTTTTTCATTTACCTGTCTCCTCTCATTTTTAATACTACGGTACAGGTATCTTTTTCAAAGGGAGCAAGCCCCACTGAAACACTGTTTACCAACAACACATTACATCTTGTAAACAGATGCAGACAATTTTAAGGAGTGAAGAAATAATTCATGAGACTATTTGTTGTTGTTTAAATGTCATGGGGATGATGTAGTACACATGTGTACCACGTTTCGTCTCCATACCTGCTACCATTAGCACATTTGCTGAAATGGCCTGGAAGAGCCCATATGGTCCATAGTAAAACAACTTTTACTGTGCCGCCTAATTTATTAACCCTCGGCGTGCAACCAAAGGACACTAGATATTTGGGTATGATGAGGAAAACAAAATAAAAAGCCGTTTTCTCTAAAACCGATTACCTAAAAAGTTAGAGCGCGTTTTGTTTGGTGCGGCAAGGTCCGCCGTTTTGTTTCTTTTTCACGACTGACACGCGCATGCGTTTTGTGATACTATGCGCATGAGGATGCAAAGAGGTTGGGGCTTCCAGCTCCACCACTTTGGCCTAGCCAAGCACACATCAATCAGATACTGATATTTCGATTCTTGCTGGCATATGTTTTTACGCCACTTTTTATGTCTATAGCTACAATATCCTGATTTGTTTTTAGCGAAATTTTCCAAGTGTAGGTGAAGTAGCTATTATTTGTGCTTCATTAGACGCTGAAGGAACATGTTCTGCTGCGCCGAGGGTTTGCACTTCAGTGCTTTTTTGTGGTGGCTCTGAGATAATTACAAAAATTCTCTAAACCTTACATAGCTACATACATGTTGACAATGACAAGTACTAAAGTGCAAACCCTCGGCGAACTGCACAAGCATGGTACCGCTAATTGATGGGCTGGGCTATTAGTAAGCGTTTACTCGTGGTCTCCTGCTAGTAGGTCGCGGAGAGTCTGACACGGGCTAACTACAGTAGTAGATAGCATCGATACACGCCCTTCGTTGTGACTTCTTGTGCCTTCAAGATACACAGAGCAAGTGGACCCGGTGGAGGTTAAGACTGTGCTAATTAGCATATTGGCTTGTTCACTTGGTTTTAACTCCATAACTTCAGAACGCAGTAGTTTTATGAATGAATCCAATGTAGCACTGATCTCATTACTATAGATATTTTGCCGATATCTTGTGTGCGGTGGCAGAAAAAGTGGTAACAGACACACAGACAGACACACTCACAAACCCAGTAACCCTCGCTGCGCATGCGCGCCGAGGGTTAATCAGGAACAAAGCTGTCAGGGAGGCAATTCAGTAGAACACGATCAATCAAGACAATCTCTTTTGCCATTTTTTCCACTGTATTCTGCCCTATTCTACACTGGAAAAGTGTACTCGGACCTTCAACCATTACTTATAGATTGTGGTATATTCTTTAACGACATGCCTCAAGACACAAAAGTGAATATTGAGCATTACACACAGGGAATTACAGACTATGAGAGGAGCAAGTGCTTCAAGAAACACAGAAAAGAGACATACTTGCTTGACCAATGACATTCTTCCCATCATATATATGATCAAAAGTGAAGTATTGAATTGGAAAGAGGAACTTGATCCCTTTCTCCTTCAACACTTTTCTGGTGGCTTTACCAATTCTGAACCTGTGTTTGATAGTAAACATACAATAATGAAAAGCACTGAAGTGCAAACCCTCGGCGCATTGTGACGCGCACGCGTAAGTAAACGCATGCGCTGTATCACTAATCGATGGGCTCTGTTTAGTTTTAGCCGTTACTCGTGGTCTTTGCCAGCTCGCGCAGAGTCTGACGCGGGCTAACTACACTACTAGACAGCATGCGAGAGGCGATACACGCCCTGCGTTGCATCTTCTGGTGCCTCCGAGGTATATACGCAGAGCACGCGGATCGATCAGAACGCGGTAAGCCGTTGCGTATTTGCATATTGGCTTTTTCGTGCTCTAGCTTTGCAACGGAGCATTTTCAGAGAAAACCGCCTATATTTTCTGACCTTCGTCGCCCGTTGGGTAGTATTGTTTCTGGGACGAACAGACGTTCGAGGAGTGAGATATAGAGTAACAGACAAACAGACAGACCCAACTACTGTACCCTCGCTGCGCATGCGCGCCGAGGGTAATAATATTAAAGTGAACACCATTGGCACAAAAGTAATGTGTGCTGGATAACAAAAGCTTAGTCCAAGCATTTAGCTCACCAGAAATGCATGTAACACACATACACATGTGTGTGCGTGGGTTAGTTAAGAGTGTGGGTTAATTATCGGTGGTAGGAGTCTGACAGAGGCTAGCTACAATGGCTAGGTTATGCTCACTTGTCATTGTAACATTTTATGCCTCGAAAGTGCAGAGAACAAGCCGAATCTGGTCGAGGTACACCTTATTGACTTCTTTACTTGGAAATTTTAAAATCAAGGCATTGTAAAACTGTATTCTTGTTTGGCCAGCTTGTTGCGTGAGGTGGCAGAAAACATGGTGGCTGACAGACATACCACTGGAATGTACATATGCACATATTATACAAATCAAATCACCCACACAAAAACCGAAACCAGTGAATTGCATTCCACATACAGTATTTAATGCCATAAAAATCTGCCACGGGTTTTCCTTACGCTCTATGCCCACAGAGCAGCAGAAAAAGCCCAAGTGAGATTCAGTTAAAGTTAGCCAATGTGAAGTAGCATATTTATTGGTTTGTTCACGATATAGTTATTATAACATAGAGGAGCATTTAACCCATTGGTATTGTTTTTGGCCAGTTTTACACACATGGTTACAGAAAATAGGTAATAAACGAACGCTAGCCCAGCGTGAGCGAGCCAACCTAGCCACTCGAGCGGATTTTGATCTATTATTACGTCTGTGTGTTGTCCGTTAAGTGTGCATGCGCGGCTTCATTACAAACATGCACGTGATGCTAGTCTGGCAACCATGGATTGTCAGTCTACAGAGGATGCCCTTCGTCATCGAAGAGAGCAGGAAAGAGAACGTCGTGAGAGGCTCGGCTTTCTCAACACCGACTGTGCGGGTTTCTCAATGCCGACTGAGTGATAGGGAACGGGCTTATAAACGCCAACTTCGTGATAGGGAACGGGCAAGGGAACGCCTCGCCGGCGAAACAGCGGAAGGAAGGGAAGCCCGACTATGTCGCCAAGCATACCTTTACCATCACAGGCTGCCAGTCACAGTTGGATCGCTCCCGCTCGCCACCAATGCTTGCATTACCCTAGTTAACCCTCGGCGTGCATGCGCAGCGACGGTTACTGTAGTTGGGTCAGTCTGTCTGTCTGTCTGTCTGTCTGTCCATGCTCCACCTCACTTCTCAATGGTTTATTCGTCCCACGAACGATACGACGTAATAAACGGGTAATAAGAAGAACGGTTTTCTCTGAAAATGCTCCATTGCAGAGATCTGAGCGTTACCAGCATAGTACGCGTACATTCCGCCGGCCATTTTTTACTCGCGGAAAACGAGCATGCGCATCATATTACGACCACATGGCCGTCCGGAAGAGAAAGACGTCTCCGTGTGTGCCGTGAGTTCCGATTTTCCCTGGCTATCATGCCTCCAAGCAAGGTTTGCCCACAATGTCAATCTAGTGTACCACTAAAGCTAAAACTGTGTAAATGTTGCCAACATGTGTTCCAAAGTAAGAGAAAAGCAGAATATAGTTTGTCTGACCAAGCCACGAAACGCATGAGAGTGTCCAAGGCCACTAAAAGAGTGCCAGAAACAAGCGAGCAAACTTTGCACAGACAGCAGCAGGACGGAAAGCGCAAAGCAAGCACGAGAGCCAATGAAACAAGTGAGCAAAGTGCATAGAAAATAGCAGGACAGAAAGTGCAAAGCAAGCACGAGAGCCAATAAAACTAGCGAGCAAAGTGTGCATAGAAAACAGCAGGACAGAAAGCATAAAGCAAGCATGAAAACTGTCCATCCAGTCAATTCTCACATAGGGGAGTGCAATGCTTGTGAGACATCTCAAAAACTTGCACAACCCAAGCAAATTGCCAGGCTGATCGTGGAGACCGCCACGAAGAAGTATCTGCTAAGGGCATATGATGAAACTCTACATGCCATCACTGAGATGGAGAAAGAAATATCAGCCCAAGATTTACTTTATGCTCCACAATTCAGCTGTACCTGCAACAAATTCAATGTTATCAAAAACATATCCCGCCCTTGACTACACCCACGTACACCAAACCGACTCTTACATAGCTGCTACCTACAAATTCTCATGAATTTTTGCATTAGCTTACACAACCGATAATATTAATCTCAGCACGCATGCGCAGCGATGGTTACAGGTCTGTGTGCAATGAGTAGAGCCGGTTCCTAACCAAAAGTTTTGAAATGAATATCCAGCCACTAATTTGTAGTTGACAAAGCTGCTGGAATAGCAAGTGTGAAAGTGACTTCGCTGAGGGTTTGCACTTTAGTGCTTTTCATTATATTATCTAGTAGTCTCGTAAGCCGGCAAGGAAAGAGAGTCTGGTCAAACTGCTCTGCAATAGAGCAGCCCAGTGCCACACATCAACTGCAGTGCTGTTGCGAGTATATAGGGTACCATGCTGCCCTTTGTGCCTTTCAATAAGTTCTGCTGATGTGTGAGTGGATCTGTCCGGTCCTCACCTTGCTGCAAGATCGTACAGCTGTGCTATATCAAGTGCCACTTAGTTAAACTTCTTATTTATAACGTGCAACGTTAGTATTTGCATCCACGCTCGTTTTTGCACCGACGGTTTTTAGCGTCTTTGTGTGAATGTCTGTTTTTGTGTGGACGATTTTTTTGCTATTAACCCCCGGCGCGCATGTGCAGCGAGGGTTACGGCACTTGGTTTGTCCGTCCATCTGTCTGTCCATCTGTTACCACGTCTGCCACCACGCGCAACAAACTGGTAAAATAGCGACACCAACGGGTTCAGCGCTACACTGGCTTCATTTTTTAAATGGTGATTTTCGTGAAAGTGCCGCGTTCAGAAGTTATGGCACGAAAACCAAGTGAACAAGCCAATTGCAAATGAGAACAGGCTTACCTCGACCGGGTCCGCTTGCTCTGTGTACCTTGGAGGCACATGAAGTCACAACGAATGGTATGTATCGACTCCCGCACGCTATCTACTAGCTAGCCCGCGTCAGACTCTCCGCGAGCTACTCTAGCGCGAGACCACGAGTAAACGAATTATTACTATTAGCCCAGCCCATCAATTTAGGGGTATCGCGCATGCGCAGCTCGCCGAGGGTTTGCACTTCAGTGCTTTTAATTTTTGGTAAGCATTGATGTCCAACGTTGCATACAAACAGATATGTACACACGAGAGGTATAGGATGGATGAGTTAGAAGAGTCTCCTCATAGTGACAGTGATGGTATGTATACTCTCTGATGTTGGTGTCAATAAAAGGTCAATTTTGGCTTAAATTATAGTGCACAAAAACAACCTGGCAAAGGTACAAAAGCATACTATTGTGTGGAGAAGAGGCGGAGCCCCTAAAAGGGGCAACCCCCTAGAGGGGGTGTGGCAATGCCTCCGACAACTCCTACCGATGGGCTGGACTTCAGCTCCTGACCTTGCAGTCTCCAAGATCGGCGTTGAGAGAGAGGCGCAGTGGTAGCCATGCGTGGTTGAGTAGTTCACCAGTCTGTTTGTTTTGGAATATTTTGAGTACGCACAGGGGTGAGTGAAGATGAACTACACAGCAGAGTGTGGAATCCCACCCAGGGCAGCTCTTCTTTTTTCCTTGGAAAAAGAGTTGTCCTGAGCGTAGTTGACTTGTTTGTTTGCCTTTGCCTTTCTACCTAACCTTGTTGTGTACATATGCATTAAGAATTGCAGTTTTGCAATTATATTCAGCCAGAGTTAGTTTGCAATCACAGAAGAGATGCTCCCCCTTTGCAACCTACTCCTGAGCAATTTAGTGCAGCATACAGGTAAGTTCTCATAACAAATCTACGACAACGGCACTAATTATCCACGCTGCTTGTGATCTTTGTACTAGTGCTGAAGAAACTTACTCAACTTGGAATTTAGTTCACAGCTCCTTTGTTAATCTCATATCAGAGGGTGACAATGAGTGGGAAAGAGATGCTGCTGCACAAAACATGTTCCAGAGAAGTGCCCGAACAAGTATTGCTAGGTCAGCTGAACTAACATAAGGGGCCAGATATCCACCGCACAGGGGATGTGATGAATCTACTTTTCTCCGTACACCTCCGTGAAATCCGTCGAACAATGCTGTGTGAAGCCTGTTGAGCAGGCTATCCTGGTGCTAAGCTGGAGTGCCCCCCATTCAATTGCCTTTGTGTCAGCCTCTTATGAGGTTGGGGCACACGAAATCATGTCGAAGCTAAGGAACTTGAAAGCTAGAGACACCTGAGAGTATGGCTGTATTTTCAGTGGTAAATCCTTGATCCACGCGGCCTTGCTATTCGTTGTGCACTTGATCCTAAACTTGTAACTGGTACAACAACTAATGTGGGTAAATCTGGTGACCTGCACACTTCTTACTCAGCCTTTTCTCCCGTTAAGAAAACAATGGTGCGGTCCAGTTCTTAGATACAAAACCCGGATACTGTGTGGTTTCCAATGAACCACTCAATGCCATCTTCTATAGTACATCC